TATCAGAGATCGCTCTTATTACCCCGGCACTCCCCCTCTATGTCGGTATCTTTACCAGTGATGAGAGATTCATCCACCATGGAGTGGCCTTCAATCACGCGTCCGTCCACAGGGAACTTGCCTCCGGGTGTCACCTTCACAATGTCTCCGCGCTGAACCAGCTCCACGTCCACCGGAACCTCACTGACACACAGAAGCAGCAAAATGAACACAACTGCGTTTATAACAGAAAACGCAGAACAATAACAATGGGTTGGGGAGCTCCGCCCACAGATGGTTCTCATGGTGGAGGGATGATCGGTGACAACTATCAGCACACATATAATACAGATTGTACCTGAGGACAGAGTTGTCGGGGCCCAACGTGACAATTGTGGCCTCTGTGGCCTGCAGGGAGATCAGACGGGACAAAGCTTCCGACGTTTTGCTCTAAAGAGGTGAGACAAAAGCACTTCTGTAATGAACGGCGTGTGACCCTCCCATTGGACGAGGAAGCATGATAAGTACTAGCACTGACCTCCCAGTACCCCAGTCACATGGTTCCCATGGCAACGCCGTATTTCTGGGATCATTCATATTGAATTCAGTCCTCACATATCCTGTGCGTCCTTCATATCCTCCCACCACTAAAACACGCGGACATCATACCGATCAACTATACATACCACATACATAGCACATACCACATACATAGCACCTACCTGCACATAGCACCTACCTGCACATAGCACCTACCTGCACATAGCACCTACCTGCACATAGCACCTACCTGCACATAGCACATACCTGTACATAGCACATACCTGTACATAGCACATACCTGTACATAGCACATACATCATACGTGTACATAGCACATACCTGTACATAGCACATACCTGTACATAGCACATACCTGTACATAGCACATAGGGTGAGGGGGTGTGGCCCGGATGTCCGTGTATATGAGGGGACCGGGTGAGGGGGTGTGGCCCGGATGTCCGTGTATATGAGGGGACCGGGTGAGGGTGTGTGGCCCGGATGTCCGTGTATATGAGGCCTATTAGAATACATGTGTGGCTGCGTGCACACGGATCGGGGTCATACCTTGGCTAGGTGTTCCAGCCACCGTCCCAGAGCGATGAAGACGAAGAGCATGGGCGGCGTGTCGAAGAAGGTGACGGGGTTGACTTTGGCTTTCTCACACACGGCCACCAGAAGGATCACCAGGGAATAGATGAAGGCGATGGAGGTGGCCAGGACAATCAGCACGTCCATGTTGGCTGTTCTATGTTTCAGAGCCTTGTATGCTTGTATGTAGAAGTACCAGCCTCCTAAAAACTGAGACAGAAGACCAGGTCACATGACCTATCCCAGGACACGTGACCTATCCCAGGACACGTGACCTATCCCAGGACACGTGACCTATCCCAGGACACGTGACCTATCCCAGGACACGTGACCTATCCCAGGACACGTGACCTATCCCAGGACACGTGACCTATCCCAGGACACGTGACCTATCCCAGGACACGTGACCTATCCCAGGACACGTGACCTATCCCAGGACACGTGACCTATCCCAGGACACGTGACCTATCCCAGGACACGTGACCTATCCCAGGACACGTGACCTATCCCAGGACACGTGACCTATCCCAGGACACGTGACCTATCCCAGGACACGTGACCTATCCCAGGACACGTGACCTATCCCAGGACACGTGACCTATCCCAGGACACGTGACCTATCCCAGGACACGTGACCTATCCCAGGACACGTGACCTATCCCAGGACACGTGACCTATCCCAGGACACGTGACCTATCCCAGGACACGTGACCTATCCCAGGACACGTGACCTATCCCAGGACACGTGACCTATCCCAGGACACGTGACCTATCCCAGGACACGTGACCTATCCCAGGACACGTGACCTATCCCAGGACACGTGACCTATCCCAGGACACGTGACCTATCCCAGGACACGTGACCTATCCCAGGACACGTGACCTATCCCAGGACACGTGACCTATCCCAGGACACGTGACCTATCCCAGGACACGTGACCTATCCCAGGACACGTGACCTATCCCAGGACACGTGACCTATCCCAGGACACGTGACCTATCCCAGGACACGTGACCTATCCCAGGACACGTGACCTATCCCAGGACACGTGACCTATCCCAGGACACGTGACCTATCCCAGGACACGTGACCTATCCCAGGACACGTGACCTATCCCAGGACACGTGACCTATCCCAGGACACGTGACCTATCCCAGGACACGTGACCTATCCCAGGACACGTGACCTATCCCAGGACACGTGACCTATCCCAGGACACGTGACCTATCCCAGGACACGTGACCTATCCCAGGACACGTGACCTATCCCAGGACACGTGACCTATCCCAGGACACGTGACCTATCCCAGGACACGTGACCTATCCCAGGACACGTGACCTATCCCAGGACACGTGACCTATCCCAGGACACGTGACCTATCCCAGGACACGTGACCTATCCCAGGACACGTGACCTATCCCAGGACACGTGACCTATCCCAGGACACGTGACCTATCCCAGGACACGTGACCTATCCCAGGACACGTGACCTATCCCAGGACACGTGACCTATCCCAGGACACGTGACCTATCCCAGGACACGTGACCTATCCCAGGACACGTGACCTATCCCAGGACACGTGACCTATCCCAGGACACGTGACCTATCCCAGGACACGTGACCTATCCCAGGACACGTGACCTATCCCAGGACACGTGACCTATCCCAGGACACGTGACCTATCCCAGGACACGTGACCTATCCCAGGACACGTGACCTATCCCAGGACACGTGACCTATCCCAGGACACGTGACCTATCCCAGGACACGTGACCTATCCCAGGACACGTGACCTATCCCAGGACACGTGACCTATCCCAGGACACGTGACCTATCCCAGGACACGTGACCTATCCCAGGACACGTGACCTATCCCAGGACACGTGACCTATCCCAGGACACGTGACCTATCCCAGGACACGTGACCTATCCCAGGACACGTGACCTATCCCAGGACACGTGACCTATCCCAGGACACGTGACCTATCCCAGGACACGTGACCTATCCCAGGACACGTGACCTATCCCAGGACACGTGACCTATCCCAGGACACGTGACCTATCCCAGGACACGTGACCTATCCCAGGACACGTGACCTATCCCAGGACACGTGACCTATCCCAGGACACGTGACCTATCCCAGGACACGTGACCTATCCCAGGACACGTGACCTATCCCAGGACACGTGACCTATCCCAGGACACGTGACCTATCCCAGGACACGTGACCTATCCCAGGACACGTGACCTATCCCAGGACACGTGACCTATCCCAGGACACGTGACCTATCCCAGGACACGTGACCTATCCCAGGACACGTGACCTATCCCAGGACACGTGACCTATCCCAGGACACGTGACCTATCCCAGGACACGTGACCTATCCCAGGACACGTGACCTATCCCAGGACACGTGACCTATCCCAGGACACGTGACCTATCCCAGGACACGTGACCTATCCCAGGACACGTGACCTATCCCAGGACACGTGACCTATCCCAGGACACGTGACCTATCCCAGGACACGTGACCTATCCCAGGACACGTGACCTATCCCAGGACACGTGACCTATCCCAGGACACGTGACCTATCCCAGGACACGTGACCTATCCCAGGACACGTGACCTATCCCAGGACACGTGACCTATCCCAGGACACGTGACCTATCCCAGGACACGTGACCTATCCCAGGACACGTGACCTATCCCAGGACACGTGACCTATCCCAGGACACGTGACCTATCCCAGGACACGTGACCTTTGTACATAGCACATACCTGTACATAGCACATACCTGTACATAGCACATACCTGTACATAGCACATACCTGTACATAGCACATACCTGTACATAGCACATACCTGTACATAGCACATACCTGTACATAGCACATACCTGTACATAGCACATACCTGTACATAGCACATACCTGTACATAGCACATAGGGTGAGGGGGTGTGGCCCGGATGTCCGTGTATATGAGGGGACCGGGTGAGGGGGTGTGGCCCGGATGTCCGTGTATATGAGGGGACCGGGTGAGGGTGTGTGGCCCGGATGTCCGTGTATATGAGGCCTATTAGAATACATGTGTGGCTGCGTGCACACGGATCGGGGTCATACCTTGGCTAGGTGTTCCAGCCACCGTCCCAGAGCGATGAAGACGAAGAGCATGGGCGGCGTGTCGAAGAAGGTGACGGGGTTGACTTTGGCTTTCTCACACACGGCCACCAGAAGGATCACCAGGGAATAGATGAAGGCGATGGAGGTGGCCAGGACAATCAGCACGTCCATGTTGGCTGTTCTATGTTTCAGAGCCTTGTATGCTTGTATGTAGAAGTACCAGCCTCCTAAAAACTGAGACAGAAGACCAGGTCACATGACCTATCCCAGGACACGTGACCTATCCCAGGACACGTGACCTATCCCAGGACACGTGACCTATCCCAGGACACGTGACCTATCCCAGGACACTGACCTATCCCAGGACACGTGACCTATCCCAGGACACCAGCCACCTTCCAGAGATCTCATCACCGGCAAGCTGCGCCTCTCACAGGTCCATCCTGTTACACGGATGACTGAACCAGTAACTTCATACAGTGCGGGGACCCAGAGGACAGCAGTCCATGGTTTTACCTGACAGGATACCCGCAGCAGAGAACAGGAAGCGCAGCATGCAGGGAGCGCTGCCACTATCAGAGCTTCTTGTATAAAGTAAATGGAGAGGTAAACTCAGAATGAACCGCCTGCATGTACCTGAGCCTAAGGTGGTGCTGCCCTCCATGACCTCCTATCTGTTATGTGCACTATATTCTACCAGCGGTCTTTCCTGTCCTCTGGTGTTCCTCTCGGTAACACACTTCCTGTCCTCTGGTGTTCCTCTCGGTAACACACTTCCTGTCCTCTGGTGTTCCTCTCGGTAACACACTTCCTGTCCTCTGCTGTCCCTCTCGGTAACACACTTCCTGTCCTCTGGTGTCCCTCTCGGTAACACACTTCCTGTCCACTGGTGTCCCTCTCAGTAACACACTTCCTGTCCACTGGTGTCTCTCTCGGTAACACACTTCCTGTCCACTGGTGTCTCTCTCGGTAACACACTTCCTGTCCTCTGGTGTCTCTCTCGTAACACACTTCCTGTCCTCTGGTGTTCCTCTCAGTAACACACTTCCTGTCCTCTGGTGACAACGTTCATTGCACTGTATCTATGGAGGAGCAGCATTGTCACCCTAGGAGAGGACTTTAGATCCTTCATATCTCCATGACACAGGGGGACGGTATGTTCCATTGTGTTGATGCCGGTGGTCACTCACCTGTACAGGTATACACAGCAGAAAGGACAGGAGGTTCATGATGGAGAGTCCTGGCATGACCTGGTACTCCAGCACCATGGTCGGATGGTAGGTAGTTATGTCATCCATGGTCATGTTGTGGTGGTGAGGCATCATGTGATCACTGTCCATGAACATCATGTAGATCATTAATCCCATGACAGGGATACAAAATATTAAACTGATCAGAAACGATTGTTTCCACCTAAAAACAACAGAAAACTGTCATCAGGTTACTGAACTTCACTATGCTGA